AAGATTATTAAAAATTTACTTTTAATTGTACTTTGAAGCCTTCATTTGGATTCATACAGAATCTTCTATTTTGCACAAAGCTGTAAGCATGTTGATAATCCATTTTAGTGGTCTCCATGACGTATGCCACCACGAAAGCGGGACTTCGGGAGATTCCTCCATTACAATGGACAAAAACTCTGCCATTATTTAGCAGTGCATCATCAATGAATGCTTTGGCCTGTGGAAAATGTGGGATCAATCGCTCATTTGGGGAATCTGACACCTCAATCTCAAAGTACCGAAAATCATTAAGAAACCTAGGGCGTAAAATGTTTTTTTCTGAAGAATCACGGATAGATACAATATGTGTTATGTTATTTTGTTTGAGCAAATCAAACTCTTTAGAGCAAGAATATGGGCCGAGAAAAAGTCCTGGTAAAATTTCTTGCATTTGACGTCTCATTTCATATCTATCATCAATAACAATTACACGAGTAAAATGAGCCAATAAATAAAGTAATAATTTTAATTTTGTACGCTTACGTTGGGAAGAGATGTTTTAAAGATCCTGCCTCTTAAAAAGCTACTTACTTCCAGTCCAACACGACTTGATTATTGTTTACGATGGCCTGAAAGTTTTGCGTGAGGCTCGACTGTGCAGGAGTAGTTGAGTCGATCATCATGTTGTCCTCCATTAACGATATTTTCGTTCGCGAAAAAATAGTCCAGGTGGTTGTGGAGAATCAAAGTTCGACACTATTAGTGAATTTCAAAAGGAAATTGCCTCACCACGGTATATTTATAATTTTTTTTAAGCGATATTCTTCAAATTTGAAATTTCGTTACAGAAAGAGGTGAACTGTGCCAAATTTTCCATAATTATGGGAAAAGCTGTAACCTTCGAGATCACGAGACCGTGACAAATAACATATCGGCTAATTTGTGGAATTGGGCCTTTGTTTAGGTCACCGAATTGTAATAAACAAATCACAAATTTAGGTCACTAAATAATAATGAAATGTTACACGATTTACAACTATAATAATAAAAATAACCCTTTTTTTAATTCGATACTTGATATTCGTTAAAGTCCACTGTTCTTAGTGTTAGAAGTATTTCCTTAGAACCAGTTAAGTTCTTGTTAACGCGATCTTGTAGAGTTGTCGCGGATGATGGTGAAATCGGATGATCGTGAAATTTGGGGCCTTAATTTAAAAATATAAACCCCACCTATGTTCTTTTATTATAAACCCTAACCCTAAAAAAAGCCTCATCCGTGACAATATTTATCATCGTAACATTGCTATCTCATAGATTCTAAGCTAAAACCCTTTCACACAATTGTTAATCTTGTTTTCGCTTGTCTATCCTTAAATTATTATGTTGGGATCGCATGTCAGATATTATTAATTACCACATTATGACATGTAATAAAATGAAACTAAACAGTAAATATTCACGAACTTAATAAATATTCTTTAATGCGAATAAATGAAATTAAATAGTTTATTCGTACCGTAAGTTGAAATGCTTTTAATAATGCTAATTCATTGGTTTTTTACAGCGCTGCGATTTATTATATGATTACCACCAAGAGGAAATGTAACTGTGAGCTTTCAAGTTTATGATTATTTATTGGATTCAGCTCATGATAACTCGAAGTCTTATTCACTTGGCAACACTCGTATTATACCATCTTGATAATTCATCGTAGATAAGATACAGTTGGTCTACCAAAAGAATTAGCATCCACACATTGATTTGCTAATTTAATGTAACGCTCGGGAGTATTTTAAACAAGCTCAGGGCATAATCTATTACAAATTTGGGTGGCTAATATTCATCATGCTCTCAATAGTATAATGAGGTGGTCTTTCGCTGCTATTGTATATAGTTGTTTACTTAACATCTCCGAGGCAACATAAGGTGATACGCCGCAAAACCGATTCATATTTCGAGATAATCCTAGATCTGTGATATAAGATATTAAGCATCTATTAGCATATTGATTTTGCATATATTGCTGCTATGAAAACACCATGCTTTGTTGGGTATCTTAAATCGGGTTTATCAAAAACATAGTGCCAGTTCAGCAGTTATATAGTGAAGATCACTAATCAATTTTTTTAAAGTGATTTTTCCGATTTTTCCGAAATCACTATTTCTTATTAATTACTATAGAAAAGTGATATCGTTCTATTTTTAATTTCTCTTGAAGTATCTTATATTTTTGAATTTTGTAAACTGTATATGCTTTATGAAATATATATTTTAAAAGTAACAATGTTAAATTTTATATTCACGTACAAAAAATTGGAATAATCAAAATTTTATATTTAGGTTAAAAATTGTACCCGGCAAGAAAATTTTTACTTAGATATTTTATTTCAAATTTTTTGATCAATATACTGTATATATTTTCTAAGTATTTAACTTTGGATTTGTTTTATTAACTTTGTTAGAAAATTTTAGTATAATAAAAGTTTAAAGTTCTTGTATTAAAATTTTATTATAAAATTTTTCCTTGGATTTTTTAAATTTTGTGTTTTTACCTATTAAAAAATTTTTACTTCTAAGACAAGTGTCAATTTTTATAAGTAAATTACTAAAAATATAATATATATATACATATCAGCCAATTTGCAAAATACCCCAAATTTTTGTGACTCTAAATTTGTAATGATCCAATCAAAACAATAAATTTACATAATCAGTCTTATTAATAACAAAGCATCATATAAAACTTCTGGTAAGTTACATAATAATCTATCATAAAACTTTGTCAAATAGTCACTCTTAAGTTCAACTTTTCTAATCAAAAAATATTTTTATCTGATCAAAAAATAGTATAGACATAGCTTATAACAACAATAAAAAGCAGGTCTTATAGTATATATGGTAAATAATAAATGTATGATTTGATTGGTCAATGCTCATGTGTAAATCTAAATTTGGTGACCTAAATAAAAAGGCCCAAATTTACAAATCAGCTAATATGATATATACATATATTTACAATTTGGTAATCTTGCCAATACTTTTATTAGGTATAAATATTTGAACTTATAGGTAAAAATATATGTTTGACTCAAGTTATCTAAAGTTCACCTAATTTTACAAGTATTTGCTAACCTGGCTCTTTTGGATACCAAAATATCCAAATTACTTATATTCAATCTGCTATAGTAAAGTTTATCTCTATATCAAAAAACCCTGCAACTGAATTCTTTGATATATTACTGAATGGTATTTACAATCTATCAAAATTATCTTCTTTTCCTTCTAGCTTCCTGAGTAAAAGGATTCATAGTCTCCAACTAACTTATAAAAAAAAACTAATACTAAAAAAAAGATAAAGGGAACAACATAAAAGAGAGAAAGAAAAAAATTGTCTAAGCAACAAAGAATTGAAAAAAAACAAATGAAAGAAGAAAAAAAAGGCAAAAAAAAAAATCAATCTATAAAAGCACTATTATAGCCTGTATTAAATATAGTTGTAAAAGTTATATATTTAATTAAATTTAAACAAAACTAATTTTAAATTTAAAAATCTTGTATATCTCTGTTATAAAGCTAAGCCTTATTGTTAAAATTTCTTCTAACTATTATATCTAATTCAGGTTAGTTCATTAACCAGAGTGCTGATTAATTCATCACATTGTAGGTTATTGTTGCCAAAACAATTTTGTGTTTATGTCCTACTTTGTTTGTTCAAAAATAGAAAGTATAAACAATACCGATCTTTTGGAGGAGATAAGCTAAATTGCCCACTTTTTTGTTGAAAATTTTGATAAAGCTGGCAAAATACAAAAGAGAGAAAAAACACTTGAAGCTACTAAAAGAGTATAAGTTTTTTTTTACTAAAATCAACTATACACTTAAGTCTGCACAATGCTAAGTTTTATCAGTGAGTAATAAACTCTAAGCTTGTCAGCAAGTAGTGTATAAGAACTACTTCTAAATGACAAGTGCTATATCTGTAGTCAGTAAGTAATAAACTCTAATGCTATTAGCAGATAGCATATGAAAACTACCTTTAAATAATAGCTGCTAACTTGCAGTTCCTTTTCCTATAATTTACATAAGAGCCATCAATTTTACTCTAGTATACTGTTTTTTTCTAGTAAAAAGTTTTTTAGAAATTGTGGTTTAAATAATTATCAAACAGAGTTTTGTAAAAAATTATTATAAAAATATAGAAAATTACTACATATTACTACTAGTAATTATCACTAGTTCTAAGATTAGTTAGAGTTAGAATTAGAAATTAAAGAATTATTGTTTTTTTTATATAATATATATAACTATTATAAGGACCCGATAGAGCCCGATCTTAGTTTTTAAAAGGTTTTTGTAGGTTCTGAATATTTTTACTTAGAAAATCCGATCCTGTTTACTTAATACATTTTTGAGATATAGCAACACTAGTGATGATCACCAGTGGTAATAAATAGCAAAATTTAAAAATATAATATTAAAAGTAATTATATATATTTATTATATAATATTATGATATGTGGGTCGATAGCATAGCAGTTATGCTCTCAGGTTGCAAATCGAATGGTTGCTGGTTTAATTTTCCCCAACAGCAGATTAATGAAAATTCGAAAATAGAAGTGAAACACTGCAGGGTACAAAGAACCCAGAATATCTACGGATAGATGTATTCGGGGAATAGTTATTCCGAGAAGTTGTAGCTGTGAAGTGAGATATTTTAGAACCCCAATTTGGAATAACTGAAGTTACGAGACATAATGTGAAGTCGAGTCTGATAAAGATACTACAAGAACTCGTAGTGATACCAGATTGGCTAGTGAAATCTCAGTACAATAGAAAGGTGATTCGACCTCTTTGAAGTATCATGCAGGCGGTCGGATCTAGGCCCTAATGAGGAAACCGGAGAATGTCAGGCAACAGAATTCCAGGTAGATATACATAATATCTGTATGGGGTTATGAAGGTTCTGTGATACTAAGTAATGTGCATACTACCTTCATTCTGGGCAAAAATTTGGAAATATGGCAATCAACTCGGTTATACTCCAGCACAGAAGAAAACCTATTTCTTATCTGGAGTTAGACCTGATATTAGAGATGAAATTTATAGAATTGGTCAAACAAAACCTATTAACGATATTATTGATAGTTTGGCAGAACTTGAATTATGTCATAGAATATTACAACAGACACCATCTCAACCTCACCATGCACCTATTGCTCCTGCTATTCTAGATATTATATCTCAACAACTGGCATTCCCCATGGCTGATATGCAAAAAATGATTCAAAATACATTTGCAAAACAGTGAGCTGAATTTAAAGCTAAGATAGAAAAATTAAAGGCTGAACTTCAAGCACAACAACTACAAGTTGCAACAGTAGGAAATTTTCAACCCCACCCAAGTTTTACCCTATAAAATCAGAAAAACCTCAGCAGGCATTTTACATAATAGATCAAGAAGATAATAATATGGATCCACTTATCCAAGATCCAGATTACCTTAAATATCTCGAGCAAGCAAAAGCTTTATATAAAAAACCACAAAGATTTAACCAATCTGTCAGAATGGATAGAATAGAAGAAGGGCTTAATGAAACTTAAGATACTATAAATCAGTTAGCAGACCAATTACAGAAAAAAGTGTATATAAAGAAATATGAAATTTGTGGAGAAACAGGCCATAGCAAGGGCAAATGCCCCAATCAACCTATGGTCCAATCTAATTATACTCAATTATATTTTACATCTCTCAAGCCAATATATCCCCAATACACACCTCCTAATTCAGATTATAGCGAGGAGGATGAAGGTGGGTATAATGAGAAAGATAATCAATGGCATGCCCCTCCATCCTATTTAGAAAAAAAAAATGGATATCACCAACAATAAGTAAGATATCACAGAATAAATCAGTAATTTCATACAAATTTTTAGTTACAGAATCTAAACAAAATGAAAAAGTCACTATGCCAAACCTTTTTTCAGAATCAGATGACCAGTTATTAGAATTATTATCTCCAGCAATGCAAAAAAAATTATTGACCCATTTACAAAAATAAATGGGCCGAATCACTTGAATATATGTAGTGTAAAATTGAAGATATAATTATTCCGGATAGATTTGCCAATATAGCATCGGGATGTCTTGTTATGAATAAAGCACTAAATGAGGCATTAGGATGAAATCTTGGGATAGCACCAAATTTTTCCCTTAGACATAATTCTGATCATATAACGAAATTAGAAGGAGGACATAAGGATGTACCAATATCTATAAAATATAAAAATAAATGGATTACTGAAACAGGACATGTTGTTGTTATTGATATTGGAAAACCTGATTACCTTCTTTGTTTAGAAACGCCATGGATTCGAAAAGTTCAAGGAATTCTAGATACAAACAAACATGAATTTCG